CAGGTTCCGAGGCCATGGCATCAGCCACCGTCATCGCTGGCAGCATCGCCGGCGTCGTCTTTGTCGCCTTCCTCTTGGCCACTCTCCTCTTCATCCTCCGGCGGTAAGGGCACAAACTCCCCCCAAAACCTCCCAAAAACGTTGTTGTCCCACCACCAAATATGGGCAGGGGATGATATTTTGGGACAAAATGCTGCTTTTCCGCAGGAGGAAGAGGTCACGGCCGCGCCAATCTGCTGAGGATGTCTACTTCTCCAAGTCAGGTGAGCCACGGGACAGTGGGGACAACAGGGATGGGCAGGGGGTGACAGGGGTGCTGACCTTCTCCTTGACACTTCCAGATCAGCTGAAGCCCCTCAAGACCTACGTTGACCCCCACACTTACGAAGACCCCAACCAAGCCATGCTCAAGTTCACCACTGAGATCCCTCCATCCTTCATCACCCGCCAGAAAGTCATCGGTGCCGGTGCGTGGCTTTGTCCCCCCCAGAGACACCCCAAAATCAGGGTGGGACAGGGGGGCTAAAGGTGCCCACGTTTTTTGGAGCAGGTGAATTTGGGGAGGTGTACAAGGGCACCCTGAAGCGCGGCAGGAAGGAGGTGCCAGTGGCCATTAAGACACTGAAGGTGGGCTACACGGAGAAGCAGCGCGTGGACTTCCTGAGCGAGGCCACCATCATGGGACAGTTCTGCCACCACAACATCATCCGCCTCGAGGGCGTTGTCTCCAAGTGTGAGTGTCCCCTATGTCCTGTCCCCACAAAAAAAAGCACCCCAAAAAAGGGGTATAAAAAAAGGTGTTTTGTGCAAAGGTGCAAAAGGGAATTTGGGGCACTTGGGTCTTTTTGAGGGATGAGGTTGGGGATTTTTCTGGGGAGGGAATTCAGGTTTATTTGGGAGGTTTTATGGGGAGCTTCAGGGATTTTTGGAGGAGTTGGGGGAGTTATTTTGGGGTTTTGGCTGTTGGGGTTTTTTGGAGTCTGTAAGGGGGTTAAAACTTTATTGTTGCTTTGGGAATGTTTAACGGAGGTGACTTTTTGGGGAGTTGAGGGTCTGGAGTTTTTGGGGAGAACTGGTAGGGTTTGGGTTTTGGGGAGTGGTTGGGTTTTTGTAGTTTTTGAGGGGTTGGGGTTGTTTTGGGGGGTTGGGTTGTTTTGAGGGGCATTGGGCATTTGGGGGTTTAAGGATTTTGCGAAGGCTTGTGGGAGGTTTAGAGATTTTAGGGCAGTGACTTTTTGGAGGGCTTGGAGGGATATTTTTTGGTGTTTTTACCTATTTTGGGGTCTTTCTTTTGTACAGACAAGCCCTTCATGATCATCACAGAGTACATGGAGAACGGGGCTCTGGATAAATTCCTGAGGGTAGGTGACTCAGGGTGGTGGAATCTCCAACACCCACCAAAGAAGGTGGGACAACAGGTGGATTCCAGGCTGGATTCTCCCCTTTTCCCAGGAAAAAGAAGGTGAATTTGGCATCATCCAGCTGGTGGGGATGTTGAGGGGCATCGCTGCTGGCATGAAGTACTTGGCCAACATGAATTACGTCCATCGGGACCTGGCTGCCAGGAACATCCTGGTGAACAGCAACCTGGTGTGCAAAGTGTCCGATTTCGGGCTCTCGAGGGTGCTGGAAGATGACCCTGAAGCCACCTACACCACCAGCGTGAGTGTCACTGCAGCAGGGTGGTGGCCAGGGAGGGGTGGCTGGATGGCCAAGGTGAGGGGGTGGTTGGCTGTGTTGGGGTGGTCGTCCAAGGTGGGTGATTGTCCATCATGGTGGCCATGTTGGGTGGTTGAACAAGGTGGACGATAGTGAACCGTGGTGGCCATGTTGGTGGGGTTGAACAAGGTGGGTGATTGTCCATCATGGTAGTCATGTTGGGTGGTTGAACAAGGTGGACGATAGTGAACCGTGGTGGCCATGTTGGTGGGGTTGAACAAGGTGAGGTGGGTTTTTGGGGGTGCAGGGTTGACCCCAATGTCGCTGTAGGGCGGGAAGATCCCGATCCGTTGGACGGCACCCGAAGCCATCTCCTACCGCAAGTTCACCTCTGCCAGCGACGTCTGGAGCTACGGCATCGTCATGTGGGAGGTGATGTCCTACGGCGAGCGGCCCTACTGGGAGCTCTCCAACCACGAGGTGAGAGCCCACCCTCCACCACCACCAGTGTTCTGGGAGACAAGGCTGGGATCAACCTGGGACACTGGAAGGTGTCCCTGCCCAGGGACACAGGCTACAATGAGATGAGTTTAAAATCATTCCAGCCCAAACCATTGTGGGATTTTGTGAATGAACACCATTTTTGGGGGGACCATCCCTGACCCTCCTCCTCCTCCTCCTCCTCGTAGGTGATGAAGGCCATCAACGAGGGCTTCCGCCTCCCGGCGCCGCTGGACTGTCCCTCGGCCATCTACCAGCTGATGATGCAGTGCTGGCAGCAGGAGCGCTGCCGGCGCCCCAAATTCCCCGACATCGTCAGCATCCTCGACAAACTCATCCGCGCCCCCGACTCCCTCAAGGCACTGGCAGATTTCGACCCTCGGTGAGTGCAGGGAGCGCCAGGATGGGGGGCAACGAGAGGGAGGGGAGAAATTGCCCAGAGCAGCTGTGGCTGCCCCTGGATCCCTGGCAGCGCCCAAGGCCAGGCTGGACAGGGCTGGGAGCACCCTGGAATGGTGGAAAGTGTCCCTGCCCATGGCAGGGGTGCCCTTTAAGGTCCCTCCCAACCAAACCAGTCTGGGATTCTCTGATTCTTGCACATCTTTGTGTCTTCTATCATTTTTCGCACTCTCATGGTGCTGTTTTGGATTGAGTTTTGCATCTCTGCACTCCCTCGTTGCTTCTGACATCTCCATTTCTGCATCATTTTTTGGTATTTCTCCATTTTCACATATCCACTTTTTGCAGCATCGCATTTTCTCCATCACAATTTCATCATCTCATTTTTGCATTTGTTTTTTGGCATCTTCCCATTTCTGCATTGTTTTTCCATTTTCATATAATTTTTCACATCCTTCCATTTCTGCGTCATTGATTTAACCTTCCACTTTCACATCACTTTTTGCACCATTTCATTTCTGTGCTATTTTTGCATCCTTCCAGTTTTTGGCATTATTTTTTCCTTTTTCCATTTCCACAGAATTTCTCATCTTTCTGTTTTTACATTATTTTTTGCATCTTTTCAACTCGTGTTATTTTTCCATCCTTCCACTTTCGCATCTCTGTTTGCCGCCCTTTCATTCCTGCTCCATTTTTGCACCTTTCCGTTCCTGCATCATTTTTTGCATTGTTTAATTTCTGCAATATTTTTGTGTCCTCACCTTTCTGTGTCATTCTTTGCACCTTCTCATTTTCACATTGTTTTTTGCACCTTCCCATTTTCACATTGTTTTTTGCACCTTCCTATTTTCACATTATGTTTTTACACCCCTCCATTCCTGCATCATTTTTTGCATCATTTCCTTTCTGCATCACTTCCACGCCCTTCTGTTTTCACATGGCTTTTCCAGCCTTGCATTTCTGTGTCACTTTTATTGAATTTTTCTATTTTTGCCTCATTTTCCGCAGGGTGTCCATCCGGCTGCCCAGCACCAGCGGCTCCGAGGGCGTCCCGTTCCGCTCGGTGCCGGAG